GTGTTCGTCGTTTTACTGGGCCCCTACAATACGTTCTCAATTAGGTTCTTAATTTCTATGAAGGAGATATATGAGTTGATTACCAGAAAAATTAATAAACCTAGGTTTCAAACCGTTTGGTCCTTGAATATGCAGTATCTATTCACAATCCACCGTAGGAAAAAAGATGGCGGTTGTACATTTTACCACAATACCTTGCGAACATAACACAGCCTATGGGGCACAAAGAAAGCCAAATTGTATTTGTTCCTGTGCTGAGGACATTGTGCAGCCTAGATTTGAAGATTTTATAACTTTTCTGCACGTTTTATGAGCGTTGTTAAGGTTTTCTTGCGCTAAGAACTATGGGTAAATGTACCAGTCGCCATCTTTTTTCCTACGGAGGATTGTGCTATGTCTTTTCTTGTAATGTAAATTTCAATCTCAAAGTCACACCGCCTAGGCTAAAATGTTCATCATAATTCAACTGTAACCCACGTACATATAAGAACTTGCTTGAGCTTGCTTGGTTAAACAGGTACTTATGTTTTTGGCTATTAAAATAGCAAATTTCTGCCAGCAAGTTTTAATAAATACACCACCAGGTCCTTACATAAATACATGCGGGGTTTTACTGTAACACAAATCTGGAGGGATGATCAACAGCCTCGGTCATCACTGATCATCACTTTCTTGACTAGTGAAACATAAATTGCATCTAGCATGCATGGTTGTTACTGCCTATTGTTCAATACTTGTAAATTCACTGATATCTATGTGAAGTAAGGCCAATACAGTATTATTAAGCATTTCAGTGTTCTGCAAACAGAATAGAAGAAGGGGTGAATTATTTATATATGAATTTCTCTATGTTCACTAAAAACATCTCCATGAACTATTGCCTTCCGCGATGGACTTCAACTCATGGAACATTAATTGTGTGGAGTTTGTGTTTCGGATTATTAGCGACACTGATCGTTGTTGAAAATCTCCTTACCATCTGGATATTTCGTAAAAAGAGACTTCTTTTGATCAGTTTGGCTGTTACTGACTTACTGGTATTTTGGGCTGCTGACTGTTCCTCTGTAGATGGCTATTAATACAATATCGCACTTGGGTCTTGAGTATCGTCTGGTGACATCGGTGTCCGAATAGGCAATTTGGATGATTGCGTCATTTGATTACAACTACCAGAATCCTTCACTTTTTCTGTGTCTTGTGCTGATTAGGGCAACTGTTATTTAAACCCCACTGGGAGTTCAAAATTTAAATAGTAAAGAAAAAACGAAAGGAATTCTGGTAGTTCTAGTCAAACGACGACAACGTGCAAATCTGCTATTGACTGACATTTTTACTAGTATTGCCTCCATCTTCACGCTAGCCGCTATTTCCTTGGAGAGAATGTACGCCATAGGCTGGCCTTTTCGACGCAGAACTTTAAACGTTCGTCGTTACATATTTGCTATTGCAATACCATGGGTCCTGACAGCAATATTCACTTCTATAAGTTTACTGTTTTATCTACCTATCACAACAATAGAGAACTTCCTGTATCCTCTCATCTTGATTCTTTGCACGCCTCCATTAGTGATGTGCATAGCGTATGGTGTCATATGGCGAAAACAGAAAACAATGATAAGTAACCGGAATCAGGTGTTAAGGGAGACATGATTGGCAAAAACACTGCTTATTATTACTGCAGCCTCTCTTTTTACCTGGTTGCCATTTCAAATTTGGAACCTGCTGGCAAATCGCGGTGTCCTTGGAGGTTTTCCTCACATAAATATGACTATTCATATCATTAAGTTTTTACAATTCAGCAACTCGCTTGTAAACGTAATAATTTATCCATTCAGAATATCAGAGTTTAAGAACGCCTTTCTTCAGATGATTCGTTCTTTGGCTAGTCCTCGTGATAGAAGAAATGAAGTTGTGCCGATGCAACATGGGAGACTGGGTCAGCTGCATCATTGCCAAGAATTACACATTGCCAATCATTAGCAAATCAGTTAGAAAGTAAAATTCCTGTCACTTTCGACTTTGAAAACATTAACAGACAAGGCAACACAAGTGCCAACTAAATTTACCACACCCCAAAATTAAGACTTCATTGTTTTTTCTAGTTCAGTCAGTGGGTGCTAAGTATACTGTTACTGTGCAAAGGTTTTACTCATCGGCATAAAAAGAAATATAAAGAGAGAGAGAGAGAGAGAGAGAGAGAGAGAGAGAGACAGGGTACTAATTCTTATAAAGAAATATTTTATTACCTTATATGTTCTTAACAGTTTCTTAAACTGCCATTGCATTTTTTTTCCAGTAACTGAACAGGTAATACATCTTAGAACCATTTTTAAGAAAAAAATAAAATTCGCGATTGCATAAGGCATCTTGGTCAAGCCTCATTATCTAGTAGGTTCGATTTCCGCTGCTCTTTCGAGTCCAGTCTCGTTTACCGAATGGCTGGTAAAAGTCGAGCCCAAGTTTCTACAAGTGCAAATCTTGACTTCAAAGTTAATATAATGTGAAACGCAATCGTGTTTTGCCAGGAAAAGTAATGTCATCCAAGATTGCTACCTCAAAACCTTAAAGTACAGGATAAATGCAATGCATTAACGGGTCGAGTCCGAATCTAGCGGGGGAGATTCGTTTTAACTCCTGCTGACCATTCGAGGTATCGATGGAGGCTTGAGCAATTCTGGCTGATCCCAAGAATGCTCAAATTTCCTCCCACCCTTCCCTCCCTCACACCTTCCCTGCCTCCCTTGGCTCCTCCCTCATATGCACGAGCATGCATGCGTGCGTGCGTGCGTGTGTGCGCGCGTGCGTTCCGTCGTCCAGCCGTACCTCCGTACACTCTCTTCTTCCTTTCATTTTTACCCTCCTTCTTTTTGTCCCTTCCTCTCTCTCCACCTGTTTATACTTAGTTTCAAACGTTATGTACAAATATATTTACATTTGAATAAAACTATGCCCACGACTATTTTAAAATTTCAATCTGTAACTCTGGGGTTGTTGACATCTAACTTTACATTCTCGATCTACATAATTATTATAAGGTACGGACCAGTTCTCACACAAACTGAAAGATTTTGTCCGCAAATTATGATACATGAAATAAATGTTAATCTTGTCGAAGTCGCGTTCACTTGTTCCATTTTCTTGCAATACAAAATGCCGAAAATAAGCGCTGGGCTTACTGTTGTCAAAAGGCTATCTTGGGTTAACTTTGTTCCTCTGGTCCAATAAATAACTCGTTAACCAGATAACAAGTTTCCATCATTTCTGACCCGGTGAGCTTCTCAAATTCAGGCCTGAAGAATATAAAATAATTACAATTAATAAGAAGGTATTTGATTTATTTAGCCCTTATTAACCGAGCAGGTCTGTATGGGAGAATCTTGACCGAGGTCGTGAGTACAGGCCGAACGCAGTGAAATCTGTACTCACGACCGACTAAGCTCGGCTAATAAGATGTTTATTATATGGCGAACAAGAAGAAGTTAACTCGTTTAATGTAACTGGTTTGTACTAGCTGACGTTTTGCTTGTGAACGGCGAAGAGCTGAACTTAAATCTGCCAAATTTTAATTTTTCTTGTCCTCCTTCCTTTTTTTTTTCTCGTCAGGCTTTTTGTCACTTCCACTAGTACTTTGAGAAGAAAATAGTCAATACTTCTGTATTTTATTCTGCAACTTTTTTACCGCAAAATGTACACGGTCTAGATGCCGGTCTAGATGGGAAAATCTAGATCGCGGTCAATATCGATTTCAGCCAATGAAATTCGTGAATTCAGTAGCTCCCTATTCTTGTGAGACACAGCCATATAATAACATTATCTATTGATCACTGTGATGGCTGATGCTACGTAAACAGGAGTTAACGCCCAAGTCGCTAGTTGAGGGAAGGTGCCTACGAAGCCCGGTGGCTGCAACCGCAGTCACATCCCCAAAGAGCTAGAACACCCGACTGACCTGCCCAACCCGCAACCAAGCCACGAACCCCC